AACCTGTGCCTTACTACCCACAGTGGACACTGCTCCATAACTCTGGAGAGCCTCCCCACAAAGATGTCTGCTGTATTGAGCCCAGCCACGATTCTTCACTTCTTCAGTCTTTCTTACAAGTGGATGTAAGAGGGTGTTCTTTCATTTCTGAGGTGTTCTTTTAAAAATTAGCACAATGGTTTTGAGGTTTGGTCTTGATTCATCTTTCTTCTCTGTGAGATATACATAAACTTTATGTTATTGCATGCAACATACTTTATCTGTGCATTTTTCAATTCATAGACGGGCAGTTTTAAAAGGCAGGTTGAGACTGTGGAGGAGATCCCACATCTATCTCTTCATTGGCTATTTCATAAATGTGTGCTTTACTTTCTCTTGTATAAGTGTCCAGAATAGTACAGTGGTCTCAGCACACGGGAGGCTGTGAGGAGCCTCTGAAAGCTCCAGGCCTTACACTTCCCACCAGCATTTGGTGGTTGTGATTTTAATTTGGACCACGCACATGTATGACATTTTAGAGTGGGTGGAGTCAACATTTTCATGATGATGTCTCTTTTAGTGTATATTGTTCAGTCCATGGCTTGCTTTCTGAAGCCTCGGTGAGTTTCAGATTGGAATATTTGTGGTTTTATTGATGAGAAGAGCTGGGGGTCTATGACAGACGTGTGTTAGGGACTTTCCTCCATCTGTGGTCGCCTTTTACTTTTTAATTGCATCTTCTGGTGATTGTTTTAAATTTTAATGACATCTAATTTGCCAAGTTTTTCTTCTGTGGTTAGTCTGTCCTAAAAACATGGCGGGGTACTCCTAATGCCTGCTTTTGGTCTGTATATTGCAGGTTTGATATGCATGTCTCTTTTGTCTCACGCTGGGCTGAGTGGTTCTATTTTCTTTCATTGGCACACAGTCCTGACATTCTATTGTCATTTCTTGGAAAACACACTTTGCTGTGAGTAGCTCTGGTCCTTTGTCAGTACCAGCACCGGTGGACCAGCTTTCTTCTCCACTCCTCTTCTTAGCTGTCACATCCCACTGTCTGGATTAGTGGTTTAATATCATCTTTTCAAACATGGTGCTATTAGCCGTGGAACCTTGAAGCAATGCTTCAGATGTTATTTAAGTCTTTAGAATTGACATGTTCATTTTAGAGTCCTCACGTCAGTTTCCACTAAAGTCCGGATTTTGATAAGAAATATGTTACATCCACCAATTAATTTAGAGAACTTAACTTTGTAATGTTATAAATGTTAATGTTTATAACATCTTGCTACACACCTACATTCTGTACTTCCCTATTGATTCAGTTAAATTTTTGTCTTTAGTAATGGCCTTTCAAAATATCTTGTACCTCTCATTATGAATTTATTTCCAAGTATTTTAGTTTTGATGTTATGTCAAATGACATTTGTCTTTATTTTGCAATCATTTACTCATAGTATATAAAATATAAATAATTTTGTACATTCGTTGGTGGTTTTTCCTTTATGAATGTCTTAGGATATTTTATATATCCAATAGTGTTATGTGTGTTTAAAGACATTTTTATTTCTGTCATTGTTGTCTTTATTATTTTTTTCTTTATGACTCTGTTGCCTTGCCTAGGACCTCTCATAGAATGCTAAATAAAGGAAGGCCATTTCCACATGATGCCAACTGTGGACATTTAAAGAATATGTCCTTCCTCTCAGACTAATCTTTTCACATTACAAGTTTTCTAAGTTTTGCCATTTAAGTAATGAAGTTATTCACCTTAATTAAAAACAAGTCACCTCATTCTTGTCAGAATACTGACCACCCTAGAGCAGCTGGAAGTGCCTGCCCTTGAGGCACAATGCCCTGACATCTCTGACAGGGCTCTTGAGTGTTCCCTGTGAAGTTCTAACCAGCCTCTCCAGTAGGAGTTTTGAGAGACAGTAAATTCTCTTTCCTAAGACACATGTGCAGTTCCAGTGGCTGCTCCTTTCATGAGGTTCTGAGGGAAGTCAGCTGTGTCTTGGTCTGCTCCAGCTGATGTAACAAAGCTTCATGGAAGAAGTCTTTTAGAAATAACCCAAGGCTATTTTCTATAGTTTGGGAAGTCCAGAAATCCAATTCCAAGGTGCAGGCACATTTAGTTTCTGGAGACCTGTCTTTTTGTCTGTGTGGATGACACCTTCTTGAGCTGTCTTAACATGCTGGAAAAGGCAGATGAGTTCCCTCTGACCAGCTCTGGGCTCTACCCTATGACCAATCACCCCAAAGACCCCATTCCATCACCTTAGAAGTGAAGGCTTTGATGTGTGATTTGGAGACATACACATACACACATATGTTCACACACGAACTCACACACATAGGCACACATGCACATGCATATACACACAAACACACAAAGACTCACATGTACATCCACAAACACACACAAATGCACACACAGGCACTCACGATCACACACAAACATACACACTCACAAACACAGGCACACACATATACACGCACAGACACACTCTCACACAGATGCACATGCATATGTGTGCTCACACACAGGCACACACGTATGTGCACACACAGAGATACACAGACACATACAGATACAGACAGAGACACAGACAAACACACACACACACACACACACTCCTACCCTTTGTATTAGGAGCAGGAAGTCTCATGGCCAGGTAAATCCAAACTCGGATTCCATTGCTTCATCTGCAGTTTCACCATTCTTCTTTTGTGCTGAGTCAAATTTTTGGAAGGATTAATTCAGAGTTAAGTTATATAGTGAAAGTCAGCCTTTTTATGTTGAAAATCAGCTATACTCAATTTCTTCTTCAGACCCAACTTAGAAATTAAAAGATAGAAGCTGACAGGAAGCAGACCCTTCTAGGACTAATTAACTGTGGATTGAGGTAAATGTGACGAGTGTTATATTTAACATTGCGCTGACCTACAGTGAGCTTTCTGTGTCCCAGGAACTCCAGAGTGTCTTGTGCAGATCTCTGCCATGGACTGGGCCTGGGAGGGGCTACAGAGGGGACGTGACTACAGTATGATTTGTCTTATTGCTTTACCTTCTTATTCATGAAGGCCTTACTCATTAAAACATCCTCTGCCTTCACTGTGGCTTATCCTACAAGAGAATGTGATTCCATCTTTCCAGTAGCCTTGAGTTTCCAAATGCAAGCAGATTGTGAGCCCTCGACAGACAACTTCCCTACCCTGACATTCATACAAACAGGATTTCGTCAACCAATGCAGAGTGGCTTTGATATTTTACAATGTGTACAACAAATTTTAGAGTTTCCTTTAGTTCGATCAATTAAATATGACATAAATTTCTCATAGGGACACTTCAAAAATTTTCCATTACTGTTCCCGTAGATACAGTATGTCCTTGGAATGGAGCACCAGACATATTTTGTGGCCAGATAATCACGCTGTACATTCTATGACCTAATAAGATTTTGGAAAAGTGCCAACCAAGCCTTAGGTAACGTGAGGAGGGCTGCGCTGAGGAAGCTGCCTCCTGCAGCTCACTTGCTGCTCCCACAGTCTGTCCCATTTGTGCTCAGACTGTCTTCCACAGAGAAGTGTCGACTGTCTTCAGAGTGTTGCCTGAACCCTTGTGTTGCTTGGCTTCCCTGAATGGCTATCACAGCTGTAACAGACTTGGGAAGAAAGGCCAGTGACTGTTGCTTTATGTTTCATACCAGCCTTCTGGTGATACTTGGGTAAAAACTTTGTCAAGTATCCAGCTATCTGAGGTGTATTTCATTTGTGTGTCTGCATATGTTAGTTGCTCATAGAATATACACAGAAAGTGCAGGTTATATGGGAAATATATGTCAGTCAAGGCCCAGTTTCTTAATTTCTCTTTTGCTTTTAGTCATGAGGGTTGAGCAGTCCCCACACTCAGAGCTTATCCTCCATGATGTCTGTCTGGACAGATGTTTAGATTAGCTTTCTTCTTCCTCATTCCGTAGTCCTGAGTAGCAACATAGGGGAAGGATCAGCAAGCTACATTGGTTACAGTTAATACACAATGCTGTGGCTTTTAGAAATATAGAAACTGCATTTGATGGTACAGTCGCCTCACAGATAGATCACAGAAGCACAGACAGTATTGTCCTCAGAATCACCAAGCAAGCTGACATCGATGTGGCTTTCTAACTACTATTTATTGTGCCTAGAGGCATTCACGTGCATGTAGTGAATGGCACGTGTTCTTTCAGCACTGGAGCAATGAGGAAAGTGACAGCAGACATTTATGAAACAGAGGTCCAGTTTGCATCTGCAATCTCCTAGTCTTTAGAGCATTATCTGGGCCAGGCTCCGTCTTTTGTACCACCCCTGATGCCTGTAGTTAGGCCAGCACTAAGGCACAAATCCTTCCCTATCATCTTCCCCTGACATCACAGTGCTCATGAGCCCCTTGTGACTGTAGGCAGTGCCTTCAGAGCAAGCTTAGACTCAGTCATTGCTTCCTGCTTGTCAAGTTGTAGAGGTTTTCCTTTGTGTGTAATGTACTTGGCTTGACAGGAGCCTTTCCCTGCTGTCTTCTGTCTGAGTGAGACTATATGTGGCCAATCTAGGGTCTTTGGTGTGTGTTTGTGTGTGTGTGTGTGTGTGTGTGCCAGTTTATCTTTCTTTTGGCAAATGTCCCTTGGATATAAACTAATAGTGGTTAAAGATAAAGAAGAAACTGAGTCTCTAGCCTGAGAAGACAAGACCTCTGTGCACTGTATTGTAGGCTCCATGTAGGAAAGTCTATGTTTCTCAAGGATTATGGGCTAAGGGACACACAGTATGGAGACCTGAAAAGAATTATATATTCTTGTCCTGTCGAATTAAACATCCCAGCCTCACAACAGGGGGCTGAGGAGGGGATCGGGAATCATTTGTCTGTTCTTAGGCCTGGCTCCCATTGTAGTGCTGGGACAGCACACAGCATCATTTACCTGGGACTGGACTCCAATGCTGGCTGCATATGTCTGCTCACTCCCCATTTCTTCCTACCCCTGCAGCATCCTCCTGTGATCAGGAGCACCAGTCAGCTCTTGAGGAAGCCAAGCAGCCCAAGAATGACAATGTTGTGATCCCCGAGTGTGCACATGGTGGCCTCTACAAGCCAGTGCAATGCCATCCATCCACTGGATACTGCTGGTGTGTACTGGTGGACACTGGGCGGCCCATTCCTGGGACCTCCACAAGGTAAACCGCATCCCCGTGGAAGCTGGAGAGGAGATGGTTGGGTTATGGAGTCAGCAAAGTGGAACCTGCCCCCAAGATTCTTTCCACTATGGGCTCCGCTCTTGTTAAACTCAGTGTCACAGTCTGAGTGTGACTGTCACATAGGAATTCTGCCCTTTGTTATCTGTGCTCCTGCTGCTTACGAAGAGTTATTTTGGCCATGGAAAGAAAAGTGTATCATTAGCAGTCATGAGCCATCAAGTATGAAGCAGAGAAGGGTTCAACTCTAGGAAAGAACATTTGGACTCCTTTTCTTGCTGCTGGCTTTGGCCAGAGAGATTAAATATTTAAGAAGTCAAGGAAGTCAAATGCCTCAAATAGCTTTCTGTAGAATGGAAATATTTGCATCTCAAAATTATCATTTAAAGAGAAGAATATGTGAAGGCTGAAGAGATGGCTCAGTGATTAAGAGCACCGGCTGCTTTTCCAAGAGAGGACCTGGGTTCAATTCCCAGCACCCACACGACAGCTTACAACTGTCTGTAACTCCAGTTCCAAGAGATCTGGCATCCTCATTCAGACATTTATGCAGGCAAAACATCAATGTATATCTAAATGAGAGATGGGGAGTGACCGAGGGAGAGAGAAAGAAAGAGGGAGAGAGAGAGGAATGTATAAGGCAAGAGTGATCAGTGTTATTTGTGGTTTGCTTATATTTTCTGTCAGTTTGAACAATTATGTTTTCCTAGAATACCAGCAGGAGCTAGTACATGTGTTGTATGTCAGGGAGGGGGGCTTGGTGTTCCTGAGTAGGTGCATGTGCTTGGTGGATACCTGTCAGTAGCCATTTGACAAAACCTTATGACTTTGATTTTCCCCTCAGACTAATAAACATGCAAGCATCTTTTCTCTCAGAGTTGCTAGTTTTGCTCTCTAATTTTATCCCAGGTGATTGGATGAATATTGGAATGTTCCCTAAATTATTTCCCCAGTTATTCAAGTGTTACAAGTGGCACTCAGTGTGAGGCTCTGGTCAGCATAGACTTCAAGGGCAGAAGCAAAGCACAATTGCTCAGATGGCAATGGCTTCACCAAGACCAAGTTCCACCCATCCCAGCCATTTTCTAGCCCTTGACTGAAGCCAAGTTCCTTGGGGGTCCTGGCTTGGATATTGTAACAATACTATGATATCAAAGCCGATTCTAGTACTAACACCCCGTCCTCAAGACACTGGAGGATTCTGTATTCCCACTGACCCAAAAAGCTGGGATGAAGCTGGGCCATAGGGCAGCCTTAGGTTTGGAAGCAAGCACGTGCTGTATGGCTGAGCTAGAACCTCTACCGTTCCTGGGTTTTGCTATGGTAATCCATTGTCCTGTGTGCTGGTGGATAGGGTGTACTTTTTTCTCATCAGCTTTCTGAGTATGGGGGTGATCTTCCTCCATACTTGAGCCTCTCGCTCCCTCACCATGCATCACTCGTGGCACCAATTGGCCCCCTGCCAGCTGCTGGCTTGGCTTCATGCACACTTCTATCATAGAGAAGAAGCAGCCCTGGCAGATGTTTTCTAAGTTGGCTAATGAACATCCTTACACAGTCAAACCCAGCACTCCTCCAGATGGCTCCAAACTGGTGAGATCGGCATTTGTAATGCTATTCCCGGAGAACTGGAGAACAGTTTAGATTGCAGCTAAGTAGAAAGTCAGACACTCTCTTTCTTTCCTCTGGCCAAACAGGACAACCCCAGGCTTCTGTTTCCATGTTGGCCTGATGGCGGACTGTCCTCCCCAAGGTTTAGGAAAGGGCTCACCCTGACCCCAAACTGAGAGGGTTGCTCAGATTGTCGTCTTCCTCTGTATCACGATTTCTTCCATCCACTAAACCAAAGCCAAGATGGTTTAGATCCTTTGGGAATGAAGTTGTAGATAGTTGTGATCTGTGTGGATGCTGGGAGTTGAACCCACATCCTTTGGAAGGGCAGCTGGTGCTCTTAGCTGCTGAACCATCTCTCTCGCCCCAAGGCAGTTTCTCTTTTTGACAGTAAGATTACCCTTCCCTGGGAACTGATGGACATGGTCAATTGCAGTCTCATCCCTAGGCTGACACCAGCCCAGCCAGAGAAGGGAACCACTTATTATGGTTCCTTCACTAAGCACTAGGGCAGGGCCAGGTCCCAGTCTAATAAACTCTGCTTTATGAGAAAAAGAGAAGATGTCATCTGTAGTATCTGATAGTCCTATACCTGTTGACACCAAGGTGGAGAGCCATTCAGAGGTGGGCAGGAGCAGGTGGGATCCCCACTGGTCCCTGCCTGACCAGCCTTTCTAGGTAGGGGAAAGATGAACCTATGAGGCAGAGGTGGCGGGAGCGATGCAGAACGTTCAGCTGGAGCAGGAAAGTAGTGCAGAGAGCAGAGCTTTCAGACTCAGGTCTAGGATCACACCTCCCACAACAGCCCTGATGGACAGGGCTGGCTGGTGTTGTGCACTTGCTCAGTAGTAGGGAGAACACGTCCTGGCTTTCCTTCCTTCCATTTCCTGTCAGTAAACACTGGAATGATTTTAATGGCCTTGGTGTTCCAGGCATAATGTCGTAGGACGGTGACTCGGTGAATGCAGAGGATGAACACCAGGGCTTCCTGAACAAAGGGGGTGGTGGTGACAGAATGGGTCCATGGCTAAGCCTGCATGAGGAAATGTTTTGGATGAGGACTAATCTGGAGGCCATTGAGCAAGAACAGGGACTTGGGCCACAGAGTAACAGAGTAGCTGGGTGTGGCCTCTGAGATGGTAACACTGTAGCAAAATAGCAGGACTCCCTTGGGGAGCACGGTGGGAGGGCCACACAGTGATGCCCAGCACACTTTGGACAGAAGGCAGAGCATCACCTGGCAGCTTTAAGACAACACTGAGCAAGACAAGCATGGCTCAGGCCACCAGGGAAGCCTTGGCTTGCATTTGCCCTAGATAGAGCTCAGGACTTGCTTTCCCTGTCTTCTTGAATGCTTCCCCAGGAGGACTCCTTGACCTTGGAAACAGGAAGCTGCAAGTGTCCAACACTTTGCCATTTATAAGCCATCTCTCTGTCTTCGTGTACCACACCATAAGGTGCTTCTGTTGTGGGCTTGAGTCAAAAATCACGCACCCTGTGCTGTTCATCCTTGCAAAGCTGACTTTTCCCCTGGATCAGACAGGAGGTTGGGATGGTAGATCTTGCAAGTTCTCCTGTCCCTTTGGGTCAAGGTTGACATTCTGACCACATTTTGTATGGTCTTGCATGGAGTTAGGGCACACCTGCAGGGCCCTGCTGCCAGGCCCAGTGGTGGTACCTAAGCTGGAGGAGTGGCAGATTTCTACCTGGCTGCTGTCCAGTAGTAGCAGGGCTCGAAGAAGGCTATAGGATTCCTTGTATGGGCTGACTGCCAGCTCCTCCATTAGTGCTGGAACAGACTTCCCTTTCACCTTTGTGAGGGCTGGCTCTGGCTTTGTCCACCTGCCGGGTGCTGCAGTCTGGCCCCATTAGCCTCGAGACAGCCTCTGCTCCGACTTCAGTGCTGTGCACAGTGGCCATGTGCATGTGGCCATGTGGGCGTGAAATTGCACTTCTCCATGGCGGCAAGCCTGGTATCTGATGGGCAGCCACAGCCAGGCAATGTTCTCTCTCTCTCTCGTTTTTTTCTTCTCCTTTTGTGAAGTAAGCGCTGTTGAGAGAACAAAGGCTTTTGCAGCCAAATTCACTTTGGTAAACTCACAAGTTCCGTTCCAGGTTACCGTTTCTGCACTGGCAAGCCTTTCTTCATGCTCTCTCAAATGTGCAGAACACAGTTACTTAAATGTGCTCTTCAAATTTCAGCACCTCTGAAGACTCAAGATAGTTCAGCCCCAAGTTAGAGCAAAGATCAAATGAGTTGAGATGGGCCAGCAGATGGCCTGGCTCTCCGACCATGTGGACCATACAAACCCTGGAAATAAAGCTCGGCTTACTGACACTGTAGGACAGGCCATGGCTCACATATCATGGGACTGCTGGTTTGGGGTTCTACACCATCAGTTAGGAGCGGAGACACATGCTCACCTCTCTGTAAGTTGTAGGTCACTGTAGCACAGATGACAGTTCTATCTTACCCCAACCCTCAGGCAGTGGCTGGAAACTGGAATGAAGCTACCCAGGGCATTTATTTTCTCTTAAGTTTAGCATCACTCAGGAATAGTGGTTATTGACCCATAAGGCAGCTGAGTGTGTTCACTATTGTCCCCAGATGAATTTTGACTCCTGTCTGATGACATGGTCCTGGGCAGCAGAGATCAACTGAGTAGGGGTCCCTCCACTGCACTGCCACGGCCCTGTGGCTGTGGATGTTCCATGCTGTCTGGCACTGAGTCTCTGTGTTCTCAAAGAATATAGGCTAGTGACATTGGGGAAGGATGTGGGAGAAAGGAGGAGAAGTTTGTAGAAGTTTGTCATTCCCTAACTGAAAGTTTGCAACCCTAGGACCTAGAACATTCCATTCATTCATACTCCTGTTATCTCCAACCTAGTTTCTCCTTTCTTAGCTAGTGCTCCCTTAGGCTACAGAGTGCTCCATGAGGGAGCACCTCCTGTCGATCTCCTACCACATATGCAGCACCCCAGTCCCTAAGAAGACGTCTCCAAAGTAGGATCAATGAATGAGGCTTGGACAAAGTGCGTTATAATTGTGGGAAACAGACTCAGTCAGTGTTGAAGGCTGGCATCTACTGGTAGCTGGGAGGGAAGGATCGTGGGTCACACCTTCCATTAGATGATACAAGTCAGCAGGATAGGTTGTTATAGATACCCGTGGGAGGACGAGACCCTACCTCACTGGGATGGGCTCTCTGAGGCAACCCATCCTTGACCTCACAGTGAGAGGGTAAATGTACAGAGGGAGAAAGTAGTCTCTGGTACAGGACTCCACCTCACCTCAGCAGTTACACAGGCCCGGGGCTAGGGGAGTCTCAAGAAGCTGTTGAGCAGCATCAGAGGTACATCTGGGCTTGGACCAGAAACATTCAGACAGCAAGTGCCTCCAGGCAGAATGTATGGGCAGGCCTTCTGAGGCATGCTACTAACACCCAGTCAGACCCACAGCACACTACCTCCTTCCTTTCTTCTTTTTTTTTTTATTTGCTCTTTAAAAGTTTGGCCAAATTTCTGTAGCCCCATAAGTTGGATTGAAAAGTAGTTAGTCTTTCAATGACATAACTGTGGGGTCCAAGTTCTTTCTGAGACCTGGTCTCCTTTCTGTAGGTAGCCAAGCGGCAAACCCTTGCCCCATGTCATGCTCACGGTCCTCACTCCTACTACGCATTTGAAAACACCCCAAGAGGTAGCTGAGCAGAACACTTGCTTTTCATAAAGACACAAAGTAGAAGATGGAGGGTGGGGCGTGGGTGTTTAGAAAGCACCAGGTAAGACTCTCTTAACCAGATTAAAGGGGCAAGCCTGACCATGTGTGTTGAGCTGCAAGTCCTCATTGTCTGATGACTGTGGATATAAGTTGACTCAGGAATGTTTGTTCAAGCCACCAAGGAGTTAAGTCACAGGGCTGTGATACAACAGTAGAGCTTATGAAATATTCTGGGGATGGATATATGTATATATATATGTATGTGTATGTGTATGTATATATGTATATGTATATATGTATATATATATGTATGTATATGTATGTATATGTATATATGTATATGTATGTGTATATATGTATATATATATGGCTTGTTAGATGTGAGAAACTGAAGACAATTCTAACTCGGGCTTGCAATCCCACTCTTCTGTCTTATCACCTAGATATGAACAGCCCAAGTGTGACAACACAGCCCGAGCTCACCCAGCGAAGGCCCGGGACCTGTACAAGAATAGGCCACTGCAGGGTAAGTACAGCATCCCTAGGGGTCAAGCAGCTTGGTGGCCACTCGGGACCACATGTAATGTGGGATAGGGAAGCCTGGTGGATCCTGTGCCTTGTAGCTCCTCCAAGAGCCCGAATCCCAGCAGACATGGGAAACATGGGAGGAAACATGTAAGATGCACACTGATCTCAGAACTAACTGAAATTTGGCAATGTGGAAATGACTGCCAGTACATGACCAGACACATAAGGGAAGAGGGAAAAATTGTCCCTAAAGCGAGCCTCCCATCACTATGCAAAAAACCCTCCTGGGAGTTTCTGCAAGGCCTCACTCTGTGGGGAACAGGCCCCTTGACAGGACTCTTCATTGAACTGACATTTGAAGCTGACTGTTGTCTTTAATAAACACAAATCCATCTGTATACCAAGTGAATTTAACTGCCAAGACTGTTTGAGATTAAACAGAGAGTAGATTTAAACTTACAATGAATCAGAGTTTTTGCTGGAAGATACTTCTCGGGTGTTTGCTTTCTCAAAAGGCATACAAGTGTCTGTCTATGACTGAGGACCAAGGACCTCTGCTACATTGACGTCACAGGTGAACTCAATGCCATAAGTATCATGCGTGGAAGAAGCTCTCTGCTTTGTTCTATCTGGTTGTTTTTCCTTTAAGTGTCTGCAGACTACAAATGTTCCATCAGAGTCTCCAGGCTCTAGCAGCCTGTAAAGACCTCCATGGCAGGGAAAGTTGGTCTGGTTTCCTTCGGTCAGGAGAAAGACCTCTGGTAGTAATTCTCTGCAATTCCTTCATAGTTTGGACTGTATTGATTAAATGGGTAATTTTAAAAGGAAAAGTATTTGTATAAACAAAAAGAGAAGGATAGCATACCCACATTTCCTTATGGACCAATAATACCATTTGTGCATGCTCACGGCAGAGGAGCAGCTGGTTTAGCCCTGCTGTGGGGAAGCAGCCACAATTTCCTCCCAGCATGGTTAGTAGCCCACCTCCTGCTCTGATGATCTTGACCAAGGCTTTCTGCTGCTTCTCAATTCCTGTCCACCCATTGGTTCAGAACCTGTGGGTGACGTCATCTTAAGGACATCATTCCTATATGTGGATAGCTTCTTGTTTCTTGCTTCCTGTGTCAGGGATTGAGACAGAGAGGGTGAGGTTCAGCATGAATCTGGCCTAAACACCCTGCCTGGGACATTTGCATATGAATCCTATGGCCTTAGACCTCTCATCTGGCCCAGAGGTCTAAAGAGTACTTTCCCACAAGTGGGCCAGAGGCTTTCTGGCCTAAGGAGTACTTTCCAACAAGTATCTAAATCAAATTTTCTTTTGAGGCAATTGCTTATGTAGACACTGCTGGCTTTCAATTCCCTATGCAGCTGAGGATTGTCTTGAATTTTTGATATTCTTGCTTCTTCCCCACAAATATTGGATTATAGCCTCTGCCAGCATGTTGACTGAATTCAGGATTTTTGTATCTGTGGACAGTTTGGTTTCTTAAAAGCAATATGCTTGCTGGATTTGAGTAGTTCTCATCCTATCCTATAGAATTTCACTATGTCCTCTGCTCCTAACTACCTACCTTGAAGAACCCCAAACACAGTATTATTACTACAATGCCTCAGGACCTCTTAGCACTGTGGCTCTCTGCCTCTATGAATGCCACAGGCTACTGTCCAGTGAGCTTCCTTTTGCTTCTTTCATGGTGGAATTCCATACTTTAGATGGCTACTGTTCTTGATTCAAAGACAGGGGTTGTAAGTAGTTTGGTGAGAACCAGTGGCCATCACTATGGAGAACAGGACTTGATATCATTGTTTGGCCTCTCTGAAGGTCAGAAGAAGTTACTCAGAGGAGCCAACACTCAGCACATAGAAGGGGTCTTATGTAGAGACAAGGCAACCAATGCACTTTTCTGGCACAAGGGGAAAGAACCATAGAGACTTACCATCCCTATGTCCTAGTCCTGGAGATATCAGCGATTCTGCAGTCCCAAAATGTTTGCGGCAGTGCTGCTTACTCCCACTTAATCACTTTCATTAGTTGGAAATTATTATCCTTATTAGGAGAGAAATCCAGGGAAGTCCTAAATTAACTACAGTATGCAGGCTCTTCTTTGTGGGGGGGGGATTTATTTTCACAATAACCCAGCAGCCACCTGGTAGGTGAAACTTCATGTGACATAGGCTGAGGGGTGAGTTTTCTTCTTTGAAGACATGTGTTCGGTTCTGTATTACTTTCTTCCAGCTCAGCAGCCTTCAACTCCCATGCCAAGCTGCGAAGACTGCTTGCTGCCCTTGCCTGTTTTGTAGCTCGTGCCAACTGATAACAAGAGATGACTTCCTCTTTAGGGCCAAGCATCAGGCTGTATGTGGGGAGAGGTGATTGCTCAGAGTTCTCTCATGTCAGGGGCTTCTGTCAGGTTGTCTGATGGTGGCTTTGAGAAAAGGAAAAACAAGGTGAAACATCAAATAGTCACAGGGCCTTCTTTTCCCCTTCGGCAAATCTCTCTTCTTTTGCTCCTAATTAAAGTACCTCATGCAGAGTGGCTAGAGAGATAGATCAGTGGTCAGTAACAGGTACTACTTTTGCTGAAGACCAGGCTTTGGTTCCCATCACTCAACATCTGTGCTTCACACCGTTATTCCAGCTCCAAGGCCATCTGATGTTCTGCATCCATGTGGGCATAACCACACACAAACATAATTAAACATAAGTTTTAAAAGATCTAAGAAAAAGCTCATGGGTATTTTGAACAATGTACCTGTCCCCTTTCCTCTACCTATACCACTCTTCCTATCCTCATATTCTCTTGAGACTAAAGAGTTATTTGTAAGGAATTCGGTGTGATCTCTTTTGGAAATTTGTTCCCTTCTTCTTCCAGTACTCACCTTCCAGGGAGATCCTCCCTGCCTCTCCATCAGCATGCACCTGTCTGGGGTACTGCTGTTTACCCAGGGCTTGAGATAGCTGGTGATGGTGTGGACCTACTCTTTTTACTCCTTTCTTGTACCTCACAGGTTCCCTTGGGTGAGACCCAGCCTTCCAACTCCCTTCTGTCAGCACAGAGGACGCCAGATACGATAGAATAAGGGATCCAGAGTCTCTTCCTCTTGCCATCCTTTGGCAACCCAGTGTTGAGAAACATTTGTTGGATTCAATTAGCATCAATCTCTTTTTTGTTTTTGTTGAGATAGGCTTCATGAAACTTGCACTGGCCTCTAGTAACTCACTGCATAGCTGAAGGTGACCTTTGAACTCCCAATCCTCTTACCTCTACCCCTTGCTAGAATTGCAAGTGTGTACTGCGCTGCTGCATTTATACAGCACTGAGGACTAGACTCGGGTGTCTGTGGCATGTTAAGCAAGCATTCTACCAACTGAGCTATGTGCCTAGCCTGTGGCATAAGGCTTTGAACGAATAAACATTTCCAGAGTGGGAATGGTAACTGATCCTGGACGTTTACTGCCTTCTTTATACCTCAGCTCTTCCCACCCAGTGAAAGGAGGAAGAGATTCAGGAGTGTGTTCTCTACTTGGCAGCCCACAGCAATCACAGGCATAATTATAACCCTCGACTCAAACCATCAGGCCGACTTCTATCTTTTTCAAGCAATACTTTAGCACGATTCGAAAGTGCTTCAAAATTAATTATGACTTTCTGAGGCAGCAGAAAACGATCCTCACCTCGCCCTAGGCTCAGCTTAGCTGGCTTTCCAAAGGTAATTAGACCCTAAGCTATGCATTCTTGCCAGGTGGAGAGGTTGGTGTTTAACCTTTCTTGCCAAGTGGATGGGCAGACAGCAGACAGCACTTTCCACAGCCAGAGGATTCCCTGACAGTGAGAGAGACGGCAACATTTCTCTTTTAAAAACTAAATGTCAACTTTTATGATTTCTCCTGTCAGGTTAAGTGCTGAATTCAGACATGAGTCAGCTGAGAACAAGGTGACTTTGTACTTGTTTATTTATTATTCATTAAAATAAAATGTTGAGACAGGGTCTCGTATAACCTATGCTGACCTTGAATTTGTTATATAACGAAGGATCACCTTGAACTCCGGATCCTTCTGCTTCTCCTCGTGGGTTCTGGGATTGCAGACATGTGCTTCTCGCCTGTTTTCTGAGGTGCTGGAGAAGCCAAGCTAAGGCCTCCCGCATGCTCTGCTAACTGAGCTACAGCCCTATCCTTGTGTCTCTGCCTTAGACACAATCTTCTATACTTGAACATATGGGTGAAGCTGTGTGTGTATCCTGTGCTTACACAAGCTTGTTCCTGCCATCACACACACACACACACACACACACACACACACACACGTATCCTCTGCCACCCTCCTTCTACCAGGCAGGAAAGGAGGGGTTGGTACCAGGTCTGTGGTGGGTCCTAGTGACAAAGAGTCTGAGAGGCTTATTGACCTTACCCATAGACCTCATCTTTATAAGCGGCAGGGCCAGCTTCACCTTAGGGACTGGACACATGGCAGCATCCTGTGCTTCGATGGGCCTTGTCAGTTTGCTCTTCTGTGTTCACCACCATGAACATCATCCTGAAGATAATAGCCTTGTGTGGATAGCTCTACACGGGGCCCAACTAAGCAGCTAGCCATGATTAGTGGTAACACGGCAGTGACTCACCTGTAAGTCATCCACAGAACCAATGCTATGATGTTTAGAAAGCTTTGGTGAGCTGGGAGAGTCAGCTAGCAAAGGGCTTGGGAGGATAGGGAAGGTATAAACCAAACTACCTTGGTGGGACACCAGGGAGGTCAGGTGGACCACAAGGGGCAGGCACATCTTCCAATCCTCATTAGGTGAGCATGGTTCATGCAGCTAGGCCCAGCCAGGAGTACTGTAGGGAGCTGGAGGCAGCAGCAGAATTCAAACACATTTCCCACCACATGGATGCTGATCCAGGATTGCTGAGGGAAGAGTGTTTAAAGAGGGTCAGCTTTCAAAAACCATCTAAATATTCCAAAGATCTGCAGGCTTCAATTTGATTTCTTG